TAAAATCTGGAATCTTTTGTGTTTTGGAATCCGGAATCTGCAACGGTAGAATCCGAATCCAGCACCTGGAATCCGAATCCACAGCGTGGAATCCAGAATTCTAATACTGTCCTGGATTACCTTACATGGGGCGAACAAAAGACTCCAATAATAAAAATTTAAGGACTATTTTTGAACTGCTCAAACCTCCAGATAAGTCTTTTGCTTCCACAGTTATTAATTTTGGTGTTGAGAAAGTTCACAAGAAAATTTAATGTAAATTGTCGCGGCTACGACATCATATTTCATTTTTCCGGGGAATCGTTCTTGTACCTACTCCACACCGCTGTATTGTGGCAAAGCTTTATCAGACTTCATCAGATAATTTGGTCTACAATTATCAAAGTTACCAGCAATAGAGGTTAACTTATTAAAATTTTGGTTATAAGAGATTCTGCCTCTTATCTGATGAATTCTGAAATTGCGATTCTTTTAACAAGATCTGCAATTAAACATTCTTTCCAGAAGAACCTTCTACTTCTTTGCCTGCTAGAAAGAATCCTCGTTCTTGAGAAAAAGAATTCCGGATTCTTGTGGTAAGAGTTTCTGAAATTGCAATTCTGTTCGTAAGATTTTTCATTAAATATTATTTCCAGAAGAACTCTCTGCTTCATTACCTGCTAAAAAGAAGTCTCGTTTTTGAGAAAAGAATTCCCGATTCTTGTAGCAAGAGTTTCTGAAATTGCAATTCTGTCCATGAGATTTGCAATTAAACATTCTCTCCAGAAGAACTCTCTACTTCATTGCCTGCTGAAAAGAATTCTCGTTCTTGAGAAAAGAATTCCCGCTTCTTGGGACAAGAGTTTCTGAAATAGAGATTCTTTTCAAGATATTCAGATGTAATGTATTCTTACCACAAGAATTCTCTCTTCTATTCAATCTTGTTTCAAGAACCTCGATTCTCCTTGAAAGAATCACCTTTAAAATGTTTATTCTGATAAGAATTTTGGTTCTTAAGGGGAGAATATGCTATTTGGGGAATTTAGAGTGCTATAAAACTATAACTGTGTTATTTGAGGATCGAAATCCTAACTGTTTCATGTTTTGATTGCTATGTTCCGAATACAATAAATTTTCCACCGATTCTGGCATCCAAAGTCAGTTGTTCGTTAGTCTTTCGTTGCCCATCAAAGCCTGAAAACTTTCCGGAAATTTGTCCGATGATGAGCATGTTTCCCGTACAGCGTATTGAAATATTTACCAGTAACATGCTAATATCCAACCAAGAAAATCCAGCCAAATTCAGCAATATGGAAACAAATAACGGGGTCAACCTCAAAAACTGGTAAATATATACATATCAAGTGTTACAATTCCCAATGGATTCGAAAATATGAACCTGTTTCCAACAAACGGGAAGAGCTGACTTAAGCACTAAGCCACGAGGTTTAACAATTTGGCTCTAAAGACACAATTTCCTCGCGGGTAGTTTCAGGAATAGAGCTGAAAATTATATGGTAAATCAATTACTTTACCTTGGCGTGAATCGTCTGCTTAGCAACGTCAAATAAGTCTCTCGAAGTAGAGATCAACCGCATCCAACTTGCAACTCAGCCATGTTGAAGACAGCTGTCAAATGAGCAAAAAATCCTTTCGCCTTGAAAGTTAAGCAAGGAAGACTAGAAACGAGTTTCTAGTCTCTTTCAGTTCTAACATAATTTAATTTGCTTGTTGAATAGGAAATGTACGTTTTTGTCTACTTTACACGTTAAGAAACTACTTTACAGGTTAGGGAGTGATTCTTTAGTAGCAAATTCCTTCTTATTCGTATTAAAAGTCATATTAAATAGATAAAAGTTTTATATTCAGAGCTTTCGCTTATTATTGTAGACGCTCGGACTCGTACACCGATCGAAGCTTCAACATCCTTCCTGGAAACTCAAGGAATTTTCCAAAAGGGGCCTTACAGGAAGAGGGAATTTGAACCTTGCTTGGGTGGGGTGGGAAAATTTGAACTTGAAGTATCAAGTCCTTTCGGTGGAATCAGTACACATGTTTTAATTTTTAATGAGGAAGAGTTTAAAGGTGAAGAGTCCGTAGAATGATTCCATTTGATTAATCTTTCAAAAGAGATATTATGTGAATATCGATACCATCGTCGATTTATACTACGCTCCTGTACACTCTCTTTTATTTTTTCTTCAATATCGTGGGGTAATTCTCATGAGTTCAATCTCCATCCCGTATTTCTTTTTCAGAAACGTGTCATTCGTATTATTACTTTCTCCTCATTCTTAGAACATATTAGCCCTTTCTTTAAATCCTTAAAACCATGAAATCTTTTGATCTTGTCAGATTTATTTTATCAGATTTTATGTACAAATTCCATAAACACCTCCTTACCTCCGTTTTCTCCAGCCTTTTCAGTTCTATCAGGAGTATTCATACCTACATCACTAGACTGGCTTCCAAACTTTTTTTGCTCTTCAAAATTCTCGCACAGTTAATGAATATCTCAAGTTAAGCAACTTATCTGTTCAAAAAGAAATGAAGAATACATATATTGACATTTATCTTATCGCCGGCTGCGAGCATTCGCCCCAAGTCATCGCTCTGACGAAGAGCGAACGCTCGAAACGTCAGCCTTTAAACTCTCTGCGGCGGCCAATTTACGTTATCAACTCTGTTGATTACACTAAATTGTAAAGAAAACATAGGCAACTCTCGTGGGCATTATACTGTATTACAAACGCAGTTGGCTTTTCTCCCGGCTCTTGAATTAAACAAGTCATTCTCGATTCTCAAGAAAGCGAAACCTTTTTGCTATATAACAAATCCTTTATATATCCAGCTTGTTCGGTCGAGATGGCTAGATATTAAACTAATTTTTTTTTTTGCATTTTTCTAGATCAAGACTTCGTTCCAGTCCGTAAAAACGCAAAAAAAGAACTCGGCCAACATCCAGCCATTTTGGCCGAACAAGCCTAGTGAAGCTTAGTGGTACCACTGTACTGGAATATCATATGGCGAGATAGTCCAGAGGTAAATCGGAGCGTTCTGATTGCTACTTACTTGGTCCTTATTTTCCCATACCCCACTTCCTTCAGCCGTACTAGGTAATAAAATTTGCGCGCTTTGAATAAATCTAAGTATTCATTTTTTTAAAATGTTTTCGGCCGTATTTTCATTTGGAATTTCGCTCGGACTGAAATAGTGCATCCGTTTAGGATAGTTTTGTGGAACAGAAAACAAGGACAGTTCGAGCTACAGTAAAACCACAATTACTACATTGAATACCAGGATATAAAAAAGGAATCCACAAAAACTTTAGTACCTGAAGCTGTAACATAATGTGTCCTGGTGATCAAAAGGGAAATTTTTGAGACCAAATGAGGAGCAATACATCGGAGTTGAAGATTTCAGATTTCAATTTTGATCAGTAACCGTGCGACTTAGAATTACTCTAGGTTCTTTTTGTCATAAAGTAATTCTACAATTTATGATAAAGAAGTAGGCTGCTAAGTTCTGTATCATATAATAGCCGTTTTTAACACCTTTCACACACCACAAATCCCTACCCCCCACCCCAAGGGATCGAACTCTCATGTTAGAAGAGCGGTGTTACTCGTATACATTATCTAATCATGTAACTCTTAGTACTTTTTGTAAGCTAGTTTTGACGAAAGCAAGTCGTCGTTTAATTCTACACTGGCTCGTTTAGTGCGTGCCTTCACAATGGAACGTTTGGAGGCTGACTGTTTTTCTGGGGAGATTTAATTGGCAAGATCAGCGGCGTTTGGCTGTCTCTTATTTTAGCGAGTATAGCACTGACTTTTCTGTCTCCAATAGTAGCTATGAGGTTCTTAGAAGAACTGTTAAAGATAGCAAAACCGGTTTCGAAAAACGGACAGTGGCTTCCTCTGTCTGTTGCTTTGTAGGTGCTCGTGTGAATGTGAGCAAGCCAGTGAAGGGGGAGAGGGAGCCTTTAACGGAGGCAGGTCTCGTAAAGGAATGGTATCAAAAGCTCTCTTACGTTATTGCAAACTTACTCAGTATTAAGTTCACCGTTTTTGTAAAACGCCAGACATACCACCTCAATTAAAAAAAAAACATAAATTTTTCCGTTTAATCTGTTCCCATCACCATTTTGCGTCTTTGTCGAGCGGCACTAACAGAGCTGACTCGAGATATTAATTGGTGAAACCAGAGGTTAAATGTCCAATCTGTGAACTAATCTGAGTTCGGATACACCACGGCAACTTACTCCAAAAAGGTTAAAACCGGTGGTGCATGCTACATAAGCTGGGTTCTCGAGTGGGAAATTTAACCTCCTAATCTATCCCTCGATCCAGCGTTCTACATGTAATTCGTCTGGAACTTAACTTTACAAAGCTGAACAACTTAAACGAGGATGAAAAATTTTTGCAATGATCGGTACAGTGTAATGGCGGACAGTTAAAACGAAAAATTTTTTCTTATTGAAAAAAAAAAAAAAAAAAACAAGAAAACCATCTTTTTTTGGCAATACTTAGAAGGGTGTAATTTCACCAAAAATTAAATCAGAATCAGGTGAACGGGAAGACATTTTCCTCTTTTTTCTTACCTCGAGAAACTTTAACTAAATGTTCTTGTCCAAAAGCTTCCTTAGATGCCCAGTAGCCTCTCGGAGGATTGCCCTCCACCCCTCCCCCGACTCCAAGTCTTACTTGTCACCACTCGAGTGGTCTACACCCACAAACCAAGTACAGTAAACAATGTCGCCAGTAAAAAAAACCTTTATTACAAAATATTTGCGGTTCTATTTACATTAAGCGTTGTTTTTCACTCTGGTGATTAAAAATTCTTCGTCTACCTGGTAAGTCTCTTTGACCCAAAATTAAGATTTGACTTGCAACTATTTATTTTGTTTAAATATAAAAAATCTACTAAAAATTGATGAAACTATATAAGATTTAGACGACCCTCAAAAGACAGGTTTAAAGCTGGTCGGTGTCTCTGAGTTATAGCTTTAAGAATTGCGACTAAGGAAAGGAAGGCAGATTTAGTCTGGTTAGCTTACAGCTTGGATGCTGTAAAGCTTCAAATAGACTGGCAACACCGGTATCATTGATAGAACGACCCTGCAGATTTAGTGTGGTTAGCTTACAGCTTGGATGCTGTAAAGCTTTACACAGACTGGCAACACCAGTATCAGTGATAGAACTACTCTGCAGATTTAGTGTGGTTAGCTTACAGCTTGGATGCTGTAAAGCTTCCCATAGACTGGCAACACCAGTATCAGTGATCCAAGTGCTCACTAGACTTAATGCGGTTAACTTCCTTACTACTAATCTATTAATAACATCAACACATTCATCAGCCAAGTAAATGTCCAATAAGTTCAATTTAGACACAAGACAGTGTTTATTGTTCAGTGAATTACAGACTCGTTGTATTCCAGACCGTGTTAGCTGTGGTCCGCTAAGTCCTACCTTCTTAACTTTGACGAACTTATCAGAACATTTGTGTTGTGCCTCTCCAGCTTCCTCTTTATTTAGTTCACTGATAATGTCCAACACAAATGATACACCAATGCAGCCCACATCAGAAAAAACCTCAAAAGCCACGACGCCGACTGAATTACAAAACGCTTGCGGATTATTCCTGATGAATTTTTTGGAAAATTCTTTGTTTTGATTCTCATTCAGACACGTCATTTTAAGATTACGACGCATAAAGGGTGAATCTAATAATTTTTCCATCAGTTCCTCGTTTCCTTCACTTGACAACATGCCAGCCATGAATTGGAAAACCATTTCAGAGCATTCTTCGTCTGGAACACAATTTTCCTTAACAAACCAACGAGCAGCCAAGAATTCTTGGACGGTTAGATGCGTGAAGCTAAAGTGCTTCGTGGTTGTAATCAGTCCAGTCCTGAAAGGCTGATCACAGTAAAGAAGACCGCTACCTTTCAGTTTGTTGACTTCTTCCAGCTCAAACTCGCCTTCCATCTCCCCTTCATCAAAAGTTGGCTTTCTCTCAACCACCAGTTTCGCCGCTAGTTTTGATAATTTCTCTAATGTGTTCTTGATGACAGAAGGGGGCTTGAATTGCTCAGGAATTTCTTCCTGTCTGTATTCTGACTCGGCGCAGTGCTTAAGTTCAAAGATATCAACAAGTTTGGTGTAAATGTTGGTTATTGAGACAGGAAGGTCATCAGGATTTTCTGATTCAGCAAGGGTATACTCCATCTCGAAGCACAACAGATAACACAGCATAGGAATATGAGCAAAACTGACAAGGTTCTCATTGTTCGTGACATGTTTAAGTACAGCGTTCTTCATATTTTCGTTGTTCTTGAAGTATTTCTCAATGTACTCTTTCACTTGTTCTGACGAAAACCCCGCAATTTCCACGTATCGTTTAAAACGGATTCCTCCCATTTTGTCAGATTCATCAGGTCGCGAGGTAACCATGACGATAGTCTCTTTCAAGATTTTTCCTTTGATGAGTTTTGAACATAATGCGGTCACCGGCATTTTACGTCTAGCATTATTGGGATGCTGTTCTTCTAAGTTTTCAGCGATGTAGTCTTGCTGTGAATACTCATCATAGCCGTCGAGGATGATCATAACTTCCTTGGGATGCTTTAAAATGTACTCAAATGTAGAGTCATCAATGTTACATCTGTCATCCAGAGTCGAACAACAATTTAAGATTTCTCTTACATTCACACAGTTATTTTCAAGCAAATTCAATTGACGGAAAGTAAGCAAATACACAAACTTTAAATTGGGGATTTCAGTGTTTTCTCGTGCTTGAAATAATTCGTTGTTGGCCCAATCGCGAATCACCTTTTGGCAAAACAGGGATTTCCCAATCCCTGCTTTTCCAACGACAAGAAAAAAAAGACTACGTAATTACAAATTCAATCTTAGATGTTTTCCTAGTTTTGTCTAAAATTACCCAGTTTGTCAATCTATCATACAGTTTACAACTTTCCAAACCCATGCAAGATTAACAGATAGCATGGCGAACTTGTTTTGATGAACAACTCTGGGGTCAAAGTAGGTTTCGTCTCATCTTTTCCTTGAGATTTGTCAATTGCTTAGAAAGGAAAAAGCAACATTCACCAGAAGTTGATTTCTTTAAAACTTTTGCCTGATCATTCTATCAGTTCTTTATCAACCCTGCAGCCTTAATCAAACTTTGATGAAACATTAACCTTGTAAAAATTAATCAAATATTAACTAATCAAACACAAATTAACCCTGTAACCCTAATCAATCATTAAGGCTACAAAAATGGAGGAAATGATCACCAACTTAGGAAGTTTTTGATTGTTAAACAAATTCTCCTTCTCAGCACCTTAGAAAATGTATAGAGAACATCATGGAGAAAACACATACTGATGTTAGGGTGCAGAAGGTAAATTTTTGCAAACTGTTGTCAGCCAGAATCTACAAGAGATTGTTACATAAGGGGAAGACTAACAGCTGCACTAATGATCAGGTACTGGATCCTGGCATGGTAACAATTTAATTAATATACTTCACATGATATTCCATATTCCATTGATTTGGGAATCCTGCCAAGATCCCGGTAAGGTCCAATAAGGGGCCCTTTCGGCAGGTCTGATGGGATTCCCATACAATGAGAGATGGAATTTCATGTGAAGTATTTTATTAAAGAAAGTCTGGAAAAATGCAAAAGGAAACCAAATGGAAAGAAAAAGAGAGTGGAAACATAAGAAAAAGAAAACACCGATGTAAAATGCCGAAATAAAAGAAAGGAGAAATTTAAGACTGATGCAAGTCACTCCAAAAAATAAATGCTCATCTCTCTTGTGAGATGCAGGAGCAATATGTGATCATTTGTGGAATTTGCCTACACTTGAGGCTGTGGAATCTTAAGGGAAACTCGTTTTGTTAGTTGTCACACAAGAGAGATAAAAGAGGGGGTTTCCACATACCCTCCTACTGTGGATCAATATTTGTGGGGTAAAAAGATTGTATAAATGTGCAACCTTCAAACCAGTGAATACTGATTACTCATAATAAGCAGAGACGAGAGGATTTTGAATCCCACTATATTTGTTCCTGTACAGTTTTCTTTTCCTTAGCATATTTACAAACAAAGTGGATTACTTATACAAAAAGGCCAATGTAAAGAGTTTAAAAGCTGATGTTTTGAGTGGCAGCCCTTCGTTAAAGCATAGCCTTTTGCCAATCACTCATACAAAGGGCTAATGCTGGAAACATCAGCTTTGAAACTCTTTATGGTGGCCAATTTACATTATCAACTCAGTTGATAATACTAAATTACCCTGTTATACTCTTCCACAGATGTAGCACCACAGTTTCTTTAGAAACTTACCCCTTTTATCTACTTGTACAAACAGATGATAGAAATGCACGTTTCTTGATGATAATAATGGTATAAATACAGACAAACTTAGAAATAATTATTTACTATCTTATTCAAAAATTTCTGTATCAGGCCCTTTGGTAGTGAAGGTGAGTAGGAGAGCTGGTATGCTACAAATAGCTGTTGGGGTTGTCAAGGAAACTGCCACAGCCCATGCTGTTCTTTGCACACACTCTCCTTCTTCCATTTCCACCAACCATGAGACTGACACAAGCTAAAAATTATTTCTGCTATTTTCTGGCTAAGAATTCTTCTTAAGAGATTCTATCCTGCTTGATATTCCATCACTCTTGTCCAATAAGACCTGAAAGAGAACATTATAAAGGTAAAGAAATCCACCCTTAACACCTAAGATCTTATTTTTAATTCTCCCCTCTGGCTGCTACACATTTCCTTGTGAATTAGTTATGAGAATTTGGTGTTTGATCAAAATAACAATCTCTACCTGATAACTTTCAGTATTCTCATTACCTGTTTTCTGGATAATGTAGGGAGAGGTAACATGTTAATCACTTCTGAGAGTTCAGAAGGGTTAACTCCAAGATGTGATTTATATGTAACTTATACTTACAATTTTTATAAATTATCCAGCAAAAGACTCGATACACATATTAACTGAGAAAGTTGTGTATTGATGTAACATCATATTCTCCCTACTAATTTACAAGAAAATGTAAAGTGGCTTGAAGGGAGAATTAATAAGAAGATATTGAGGGTTGAGGGACCTGTTTCACTCTTTCCTTAGATGCTCAAAAGCAAACTTTTTATAATTTATTCAACATGATTAAAAGGCCTTTCAGCAGCAGTCTTTCAGAAAAAATCTTTCCTTGATCACAATTTGTATGTACAATCCATCTATTACTGACTAGTTATTAGACGAGGTTAAGCATAATGTATAATAGTAATAGGACCGAGTAGAGTCCAATTATGTCTGTAATCATACAAGTGATTAACCCTTTAATCCCCAAAACTGATCAACATGTAACTTCTCCCTATAATATTCATGCACTATTCAAAAAACAGTTATAAGACTGAAAAAAAAATTTGAAAAATTTATAAGAAAGTTCTTATTACAGAAAATTGCAAGAGAAATCATGAACATTTCTTGTTCATAAATGAATGTACATGAAGAAACATCACTGAAAGTATGGACAGATGGAATTTTGAAAGCTTGCACATGTTATTTGTAATTTGCACTTGTGATACAACTTTGCACTCCTGTTACAAGAGAATTATGCACTTGTTTTCAGCCAATCAGAAGCTTGTAATTTTTTCATTTACATTATTAAACACTGTAATGATTTGATGCAAGTGTTTAAGATGACTTTATGAAGTCATCTAAACCATCTATATATAGAAGAGATTAAAAGTAACCCTCAGGTATACACTACCCAAGAGGGTATAAGAGAGATTAAAAATAACCCTCAGGTATACACTACCCAAGAGGGAATAAGAGAGATTAAAAATAACCCTCAGGTATACACTACTTGAGAAGGTAAAGGAGAGATTAAAAGTAACCCTTAGGTATACACTACTCAAGAGAGTATAGAAGAGATTAAAGAGGGTACAAAAGAGATTAAAATAGATTAAAAGTAACCCTTAGGTATACACTACCTAAGAGGATATATGTGGAAAGACTTAAGGTATTATCCTCGTGTATACACCACCCAAGAGGGTATAGAAGAGATTAAAAGTAACCATGAGGTATACACTATTTGCCTCTTTTGACTGAAAGTTGAGGCATCCACCATCAATCTATATAACCATTTCACTTTTACTAGTTCTTGAATGTCTTTGTCAAGCTTGGCTATTCTTGACTGATATCTTAGCAATTCTCCATGATTATTTGATTAGAGGCATTTTGCAGCTGAAAAATCCTCTTGACTCTGCCTCAGGATTATTCAAAATTAATACTACTTCACCTTCCGCAATGATTGTTAATTATCAACACTATTAGAACAGTATATATATGTAATGCAAAAGAAGTTTAAATTATTTATTTTTCTCTACTGTACCTAATTTTTGGCCAAGTGATTCTCCATGCAGATTCAGATGTTTACTTGAGTATGCATGATTACTGACCAAATTGGACGACATAAAGTCTAATTGTCACCAATTAATAATAACCATTACAATTTCTGGAAGAACAAATGCAAAGTTTTAAACTGAAAGTGCTTTTTAAACTCTGTGACTAGTGGATTTAACTGAGCGAACTTACTAACTAGTATGATTGGCTGCTTAACTGTCCAAATACAGCTAGCCATTTCCAATCAATGCAGTCAAACCTTGATTATCTGGACCTCCATTATCCAGATTTTTCCATTATCTGGACTTGCTGCTCTGGTCCCATTTTCTACCAACATTTATACTCATATCTTCCATTCTCCAAACTCTGGATTATCTGGACTATAAAGCCCATGATTCTCCACAAGTCTTGAATAATCAAGGTTTGACCATACAGCCAACTGTCTGGTTACACTGTCAGATTAAAACACTATAAAAATAACTATTGAAAAATAAACCATCTAACGCACTATTTACATTCGAGGAAATTAAGTAATGGTTATGATTTACCCTATGACTCCCAAACTTCTAACAGACAGTTATTGAGGGTGATTTTTTTACCGAAATTAGAGCCTGTCATATTTTAAAAAAGAAAGATGATTTTAATAACGTAAACAAACCTCCTTACACCCACAACAAATAACATAAACAACTGCACATATATCAATAGACTGAGTAACATAACATTACATAAAGAAAAGTGGTAATATTGAATGCCACACAAATGAGTGATATAAACAACAACATGTAATTAATACTTAAAAGCTTGTGTTGTATAAACAGATAACACTACAGAAACAAAAACATTTTCACTGTACAGCGGCAGGAGTGATATTATAACAATAGAACCCTTAACCCTTTACACCCTAACATTAGTGTTCATATTCTCCACACTGATCTCTCTACATTTCCTGTGGCAATGACAAGGAGAATTTGGTTGACAATCAGGTCAGCTTCTTAAACTGGTGATTATTTCTATTATTCTCACAACCCTTACACTTGATTCAAGGGTGATATACTGTAAGGAGAAATTAGAAGCCAGTCACTCTTAGGGGTTTAAGGGTTAATAAACTGGTGGAAATCTTCCATCTGGCTTTTGAATGCATATTGATTATATGGTCACATGTTAGAGGATTGGACTCCAGCGTTAATATCATGGATCATGTATTAATAACAGACATGTCGGTTATTGAAGTAAATATTGTGTTCAGTATGGTGAATGGCTTCATGTACAAATACATGCACAGACAGCAAGCGATTATACTGTAGGTAAATTATACTGTTCTCAAATGTATTTCTTTTTTCAGATTAGTTTGAATGCTGTTTAGCTGTACAAATATTATATGCAATAATCACAGCCTGCATGAAGAACAAGCTGTGAAAGTGACTTTCTTGGCCCCCCCCCATACTTAAT